ATGAGAAACGGCCTAGAACCCGAGAAACGGGACTCCTTGCGCGTTGATTCAAGCATTGATGCGACTATCATCGCTGTGCCCTCTTCAACACTATGGTCTCTCAAGCTATCTAATCACTCGCCACGTATTGAACTACGGCGAGTGATCAGATGATCGGTGGGCGGAGATCGCCGGACCCGCCAGCTTTGAGGCATGATAGGTCGCCGAGGTCAAAATTTTTCCATGCGAATTGCGCGTCAGTTCGCACCCTCAGGAGGTCCGTGGGTCCCTCAACTAGGTCAGTTTCCCTTTCTTCGACCTTCATTCTAATCGTGAATTCCTCCTTTAAAGCAGCGCTCCCACAGAATTTGTATGGTCACAGTGATCAATAATGGAGTTGTGGATACCGAGTCGACTAAAAATGAAGGAAGGGGCGGGCCCGGGGAGTTTGCCATGCATTGCTCCACGATTCACCTACCCCCGCCTATTTGAATTAGCCGCTACTCTGTGAATCACGCTGCGTGTCATGGGGTGAGTGCTGCGTGACCCACCCAAATGCTAGGATTAGTCATAAAATGAGAGTTCGTGAGACCCAGGCGCCATTTTTGCGCACTTCCGATCGACAAAGACACATCTGTGTTATTCGCAGGCTACTCTATCCCACCCTGAATGTAGGATGTTCGGGCAACGACTTCGGGTAGGCCGTGCTGCTTTTCTTGCTGGTTGCCGGACTATTGATCAAGTAAAAATTTGATAATTAGGGGGGCAATAGGATCGAAGGAAACTATCGATTTTAGTACCAGGATTAGTTAATTTTCAAGGTTTTAGATGATTAATTAGCATTAAAGATCGAGTTGCGCATTCATTATCGCGTTGTCAAACGCTGGATCAAAAGAAGTTCACTTAGTTTAGAGGAAGGAAATGTGCGAAGATTAATTCAAAATAGAATTTATGACTTTTTCGCTTGCGCGCGTGTTGCACGCTACGCAGCTCAAAGATCGTTGAGATCAGAGGGCTTTTACTTTTTCCTCTCGTAGTAACTGTACTCTACTTAATCTGGCTGTAACCTATTGATTCATAGTGATAGCTAAAGTTGATTAATGAGCAGTTGTAATTAGTAACAACTGATAGAATACAACTGCAACAGGGTGATTATTTCATTGGCAGAGAACATTTGCATTTTGTGCAGGCCGTCGTCACTTGTGTTGTGTGGTCTGCACTCGACGAACCCCTAATTTCTGGAACCGTAGTATATTTGTGGTTCTCAAAAAGTGGCAAATCATATTGTTTGAAGTTGACGTTATGTTTCTAGAAGGTCAGGGAAAGCGAAATCTTCGAGAAAATAGTAGAACTGAATTGAATTGAATTGAATTGTTTCAAGAAGTTTAAAACCGAGATCCATTTTTGCTCTCTGCTGTACCACGTTTCGATTATGTTTGGAGCTGATAGTAAGTTTTGATGTAGTAACAGAGAATTCACTTAATATGAAGACACGAGATGTATGAGAGTCTCAAAGAGATCTCTTCGGAGAGAAATAAGGATGGGTTGAACAGTCTCTAAAGGTTCCCCAACCTGGATGAGAGTCTATCAAACACCTGAGACTTTATACTTTCCTCTCAGGCTATGCTATTAAAACCGCGTAAATTAATCGCCATATGTGATTACTTGCTCGTGAATTCGCTCGAACCTGTCAATGCGGCACTTCTCAGTAAGGGCTAGCGTTTAAGCCGATAAGGCGCACCACTTGCTACGAATTTTAACTCAAATTAAACGGCGATACGCGCGTATGACAAGAGTAATGAAAGAGAATGGAGGGTAACCGCAATCGCAAAGTGTACCAGTGTCGTTCACTTCTTTGCCAGGAATCATTACCTCTGTTATTCTTTATTCCTGATTTGACTAACTTCTTAAATGATATGTCAATTTGCGGTTTGTAATCAGTGATGGATTGAAGAATGATTCGTATGAAGCCTACAGGCCACAGGGGGTTGGACACGGGCATAGCCCTTATACCCTTATCCCAAGCGAATCAGTGTGGCGAGAAATCGGTGTTGAGCAGAGTAAGATCGAGCTACTATACGGCACACCATGCGTGCACTACTCACTAACCACTGCTTCGCCTCCGCGCTTGAGAAAGTTATGTTATTTCAAGAATCCCACGAATGGGCTGGGCGAAGTGTGACTTGCGGTCGCGCAGTAATGAGGTAGACTTTAAGCCCACGGAACTATTTGTTCTTCCAAGATGTTCCTTTTTCTCGCACGAAAATTTGGTCAAATGTTTGGGTAGGTGCTTTGAAGTTAGTAATAGACACAGATCACAATACAAAATACACACCTCTGTGAAGAGTGTAAGCGGTGCCAAATACTTCCACCCACAATCCATATCTTTTATGAAACCTAATAGTGGAGGGTGATGACATTGAATGTTAGAAGGGCTTTAAAGGCAGTGATTACGATAGATTCAAGAAGGGTTCAAAGGAGACGTGATGGTGCTCAATGGTACGCCAGTGGCGAAAAAAGCGGAGAAATCCGTCAAGAAAACGCAAAACGGGACCCCTTTTTGGCCGTTCTTTTCACTCATGAACAGGTAACAGCTCAGAAATTGACGTATTTAAGCACCATGCCAACCACGCTCCAATCGAGTTGCTCCAGTTGTGCCGCTGCTGGCAACGCAGCTCGTCCAAATCACCAACTAAACTAGTGGGCGGATCGCTTTTGGGGGCGGAGTGCTTTCGAAGTCCTGCTCAGCAACCAGCGCACCTTTCGTCGTGAAAGCGCCACATCTCGCTTCCTTGGCAGCCAAGTAACCGTGTGGTGCATATGCTTCCCCGATGCGCTTCCTCCTTATTATCGTAATCGCTGCCTTTAAGATACCGTCCTATCGGCGCGTTGATGCGCCCAGTCTACCCAAAGC